GTCTCCTCCACGGAACCTGCTCCAGTGCCACCTCCTCCTCGTCTTAGAACTTCCTCCTGAGATCCCACATCTGCACCCAAACACCCGCGGTGGCCCCTCCCATCCCGCAGGTCCTCCCGTCCGTCCCGCAGGTCCCCCCGTCCGTCCTGCAGGTCCCCCCGTCCACCCTGCAGGTCCTCCCGTCCGTCCTGCAGGTCCTCCCATCCATCCTGAAGGTCTTCCCGTCCGTCCTGCAGGTCCCTTCCTTAGCACCCTCCCTAGGACCACACAGCACCCCGCCCGCCTGCCCCGGAACCTGACGCCTCCATCGCCTCTCAATGGTGTGGTTTGACCACATCGAGACTGACAGCGACTGTCCAAATGTCACGAAGCAGAAACATGGCAGGTGAGGGGTGACCCATGAAGACGTTTGAAAACTAGGCTGGATCCATGTTTTGAGGGAATATGAACGTCAGGCTAATAAGTACAAACTCCTTTTATCTCCTTTGCAGACGTAAGGAGATGCTGAAGGATTTTAACCTGAGCAGTGGCACAGTCCTATTGGGGTTTCATCTTTGATGGCTTTTGGCAGCAAGTGTAGGGAAGGGACTGAGTAAGAAAGAAACTCAAGATAGGAAAACTAACCCCAAGCTAATCGTCCGATGAATGCCCTAAAAATGAGGGGAAGCGGCCCCAGTGCTCTCCCGGACCCACCTGCAGGCCGGGACGGAGGTGGGGGGACAGGTAACCCTGAGGGGGCCTCACAGATCAAGCTGGGGATCTCGGAAAATAAGAGCTGCTGAGACTGCAGGCCACGCGTTGATCAATGAATGGGTGCTTCTGTTACAAATGTCATGTTCACGGCGTATCCCGGAGTCCTGAGTTACACTCGTCGGTGAGTTTCTGTTTCATGGACTTAGTGCAGGGCCTGTGGGTCTTCTCGCCAGGTTAGGGGGAGAAAGGGGGGCCTCTGCGTGCTGAGCGGCCGCTGGCCACTGCCCTCCAGCCAGGACACGCCTCAGTCCCTCTCGGGGCTGTTTCTGTCTAAGCCGCTGTTTATGAATCGCTCTTTTTTATCAAGTAAAAAAGCTATTAGCATTTCACTCCCGGCCCATCTGGAATGGTTGTTTTCTTTCACGTTAGCTTTAGCTTCGGTTTAATTATTCTCACAAATATTTTTAAAACTTCTTTGAAATTAGCATTAAATACTTCAGGGTATTAGCCCAGTGCTATTCCCTGGGAAACATCAAAAGAAAGGCTAGGCTGGGAACAATTTTCCATTGTAATTCACCAAAGTAACAACAGCATTTTTGTTAGAGAGGGAGTGTGGTCCTACTCAGTGCCAGTCTCTGTGCCCCGCTTTCTCCTGTCACTAAGGGGCCACCGACCCTGCCACAGTCCCTACGAGTGGTCCCTACAAGTGGTCCCTACGAGCCACCTGGCCACATGCTCGACCCCTTTTCCTCCTGTTTCTAGATCACAAATAACAAAGAGTCAGCCTCACACCTATTTTATTTTGGACACGCTTCATTTTTCAATCCTTTCCAAATTTCCTTATTTATCATCTGCTTTCGTTAGAATCATTTCCTTGTAAATTCATGAAATAATTCCAATATTACTACTAGTAGCAATAATTTATTGAATGTCTACCATATGCCAGGTATTACATTCAGGATTTCCCTAGAATGTCTCAATTTATCTAGATGACAAACCCAGGATATAGGAATATTATTTCCATTTTACAAATAATAAAACCTGTTCAAAGAGGTTTAGTGATCTGCCTGAGGTCCTACAGCTGGTAGAAAACCCAGCCGCGGTTCAATCTGAGCACGGACTCTGAGTTACGGAGCGGTTTTGTCTCCTACACCCACAGAAAGCACTGGGGTTTCCTGTGTTGGTGGCAGGCGTCAGACCACAAGAATAAATTCCTGTCCCCAGGCTCACGCTCTTGGTCCCAATAGGATTTTATTGGATGATGTCACAGATTGGATAAGAAACGTCTAGGAAACTTACGAGAAGGTTGTTGCTGCCCTTGAAGGAAAAGCCATTTGGGTTAGAATCTTCCCAATGCCCCAGAGTGACCTCGGGAGGCCGGTCCGAGGGAGCCGGCCACCGGCCCTGAGAAGCAGGCAGCCTGGCGGAGCCCACGGGCGGTGCTACCCCCGGTCGGGTGCTGGGGGCGGGAGGGAGAAACAGACTAGCGGGGCCTGGCCACAGTTATAAGAAATATTAATCATGCTCTTCTAGCCATGATTGTTTTGTTCTGACTAAAGGAGCACATCTGACCTCGCTGGGAGCTGTGCTCCCCGGGACCTGGGAGTTAACCTCGAAATTCGGTCCACCCTCCTTTTCCGAGAACCGCCCGTCACCGCGGAGAGATTAACCACCTCGTTGCCGAAACCGTGGAGCCCCGGAGGCGACCGCTCTTTGCCCCCC